GTTTGCTAGTAAGATATAGAACTGAACCAATTATACCTTTGTAGATTTTATGGTCTACTAGTTTACTTGATTCATTTTTTGATAAGCTTACAAACGGAGGCATAAGTGTATGCATAGGTTTTAGCCATTCTTATGTTACCAATTGGATTGGGAGAAAAGAGTTGGGATGTGAGTTGTGTTTTGTTTTGAAAATTCTGGTATAAATATATTTTGGTATTTATGTGATTTTTATATGTGTGATTAATGAAATTGTGTGTTATTAATTTTATATAAGTATCTATAACAAAAATCCATATATAAAAAGAAAGGAGTTTTTTTGTTAGAAATTCAGTTATTATGTATAACTACTTCATTTTTTTTATATATATTTTCATAGTTTAATTTTTAAAATAGTTAATTGAAAAATAAAATATTATGTCAACATGATTTAAATTATTTAGTTATCAAACTTCTATAACTCATTTGCCTAATTCTATAAAGTATATTTTGATTAAAGGTCAAATTAATAATTTATTTTTGTGATATTGCAATAATAATCCATAAATATAAATTTTCTTTGTGTCTAATATAAAATTTGCATTATATATATTTTTTATAAACATTTTCATCTTATTATTTTATTCTAATTTAATACAGAGTTGTTTAAACCATGTGTATTTCACAAAGTAATTAGCAAAAGACTACACTCATACATATGCACTACTTACTTATATACTAATTAGTTTTAAAAATTCTTTCTCTTCACTTGTGATTCAAATATTGAGCCACTTCTTCTTCCCTTCTCTTCTCTCAAGTTTCAGCCAAAGAAAATTTCTAATTTTTCATTTCCTTCTCTCTCGTCCTCTCCATTAAATTTGTTCCCCTCTCTTCCTTTAAACTAAATGGACACTTAGTACATTACTTAAAGAATAAAAATAATTTTCTTTTATTGAAAAGCGTACTAGACTTTCCCTCGTATAATTTTATTTGAATTTTCAATGAATATTTAGGACACTAATTAACAAAAACTCTAATTCAAATTCTCACATTTTCTGCTTCTTTCAAAAAAAAAAAAAAAAAATCTTCTTTTCGTCCGAACTCCAAACATACAGTTTATCTAGGTAGGAAAATAAGGCAACAGAAAGGGCGCCAAATTAGGTGACGTAATCAGTACAATAATTGTGCCGAACCACCGAGGGCAATTGATACAGATGCAGTAGAATTGTGGCACAGGTAATTGGAATTTGATTTGAAAGTTTGATTTTTTTTTTCATCTGTTAAACAAAAAACACACCAACAGGTCTATTTAGTTAATTTTGACCCGTCTTTGTCCAGCTTTATAAAACTTTCATGACTGCTTGTTATTTGTCAACAACACATGTAAAACACACTCTCCAATCTACATGGGTGCATGCTAGGGAGAAAAACCCTAGTCAACAAAATGTGTTTGAAAATTGAAATAAACCAATTTAGCAACACTCTCTTTCCACATCAATCACAATTAACAAGAAATAATATTTGCACCATTTGAGTCTGTCGACAGTGAATGCTAAAATTAAGAGCGCACATATAGATGAATTTGACCGGTCGTTGTCGAGTATTATGCATGAAAGTGAAACAAAACTTGTTTGAACGTTGCTAGCACATGAAAAACACACTTATTATATGGCATGCAGAAGGGACCCAAGTAATGCCGCAACATAAATAAATTAATAATATATAAGTTCTGATTTATGAACAGTGTAAGGCATGACAACAAAATCCTGCCATTGACTTCGAACAACACATAAATATCTATTAGCTCCTCATGTTTCAATTTCGCACATGTAATTGAGATTATATATATATATATATAT